TGAAATCCCAGTGTTCGCAGTTTTCTCTGCGATAACACTCTATATCTAGTGTTCGTTTTCAGTTTACTGTGAAACAGAACAGGGTCGTTTATTTGAGTTCTAGAAGCAATGAGGATGACTCAGCAATTCTGTAACTTGCACACATTCGAACATGCCATGATTATGACTAGTCCATAACAGGATGACGTCAATGAAGGAATGAAGAGCACATGTAGTAATGCCTTCGGGACAAATTACGCTTGATAATTTCGTAAATAGCTTTAAGGGAACTCATTGAATGCCAACTGGTACAAAAAGTGAAGACTAATGACAAAGCAGGTTTCAAAAGTTTCTTAGTATCATAATGCTTTGTTATTGATCTTATCATGTGATTATGTAACTATTTGCACATACCGGTTCTTAATTTTGAAGTGATAGATTATACGTAAGGCACTTAGTCAAAAGCATCCACCGCCAGCTCTTTGTCTTCTCTTGTCTGATCGAATATTGAGCTTGACTGTTACTCTTATAGCGCACCAATGGTTCCAACGGACCGCGAACCATAAATTCTAGGATTCACATTTCAGGCACGCTAACCACTACATCAAGCCCAGCCCATTATGAGACAGTGTCACTATGTTGCACAGCGCTTCATGAGGTCGACTTCTAAAGCCTCTTGAAGAGAATGACAATATCTTCGTTTCTTTAATTAAGATGCATGAGGTACTTGAGCTAACATTGTTATACATTGCAATATAAACTTCCAGTAAGATTTTGAAGAGAGTTAGAGCGATGTAGATGTACTACACCTTTCATCCGAGACATATATTTACACTCACTTCTCAATAAAAAAAATAGAACTGAGTTTATGTATTTTTTCAGTGTCTTCTTCCTGACGACAAGGCATACATTTTTATTCCACATTTAACCAACTTGTCGTACTACCTGTTTTGCCGTGGTCTTAAGTTATTGGGAGACGATGGTCTTATTGTAACAATAACAGTAATTTCTTTTTAATTTCAAGTGTCAGCGCCTAGATGTTGGTTTTAGAGTTATCGCTATTTATTGATTCTGTCTTTTGGGGTTTAACTAACACAAACAGTAGAAGGAGCTAAAATAGTATCGATATTAAACTAACGTAAGTACCCGAATAAAAAAACTGAACATTGTTACTTCTTCGCCAGCTCATGGTTGTCAATTTTATCAACTTAGAGAATAAGTTTTACAATGACAGATGAAATTACTTGGTATGTTGAACAAATATTGTTACCATTACATATTTCTTTACTTGGTGTATTGAACAAATATTGTTACCATTACACATTTCTTTACTTGGTGTATTGAACAAATATTGTTATCATTACATATTTCTTTGCTTAGTATATTGAACAAATATTGTTAGCATTACACATTTCTTTACTTGGTGTATTGAACAAATATTATTACCATTACACATTTCTTTACTTAGTATATTGAACAAATATTGTTAGCATTACACATTTATTTACTTGGTGTATTGAACAAATATGGTTACCATTACACATTTCTTTACTTAGTATATTGAACAAATATTGTTAGCATTACACATTTATTTACTTGGTGTATTGAACAAATATTGTTATCATTACATATTTCTTTACTTAGTATATTGAGCAAATATTGTTACCATTACACATTTATTTACTTGGTGTATTGAACAAATATGGTTACCATTACACATTTCTTTACTTAGTATATTGAACAAATATTGTTATCATTACATATTTCTTTACTTAGTATATTGAGCAAATATTGTTACCATTACACATTTCTTTACTTGATATATAGGATATATATAGCTTGTCTAGAAGGGTGTCATCGCGATCTACCAAAGTCATCGTGTGATATGCCTTCCCATGCAAATGGACCGTTGCATTTAATGTGTACTAAACACAAAGCAAATTTTTGAGGAATGGTTTGTTTAAATTTTTGTTTTATCTTTAGATTTTGGATACATAAAAACTAAAAATGTTAGATCCATGCACCTAAACAGCAGAGCGATGGGTCACTTTGGACAGCTCTTTCAAAGGCTCTGCGCATTCCCAGGTCTCTCTATCACAGCATGATGGAGAGGCTCCTAAGTGCCCTGACGATCGCCATCATCGCCCACTATCTCATTTTCTGACAAAACTGCTCAAGCTAGTTGATTTCGTACACCAGAAATGTCTTTCGTTATCCCCAGGTAGTCTCAAATGTCATCAGCTAGAACTGAGATTAGGCTAACCTTATTGGTGAATGTCTTGGAGGTCCCCTACAGACCTACCTTGCTATGAGATTGGCCCTCAATGGTAAATTTCTATCGACAGTCCTGTGTGCACCAGATTCTTGCAGTTCTCCTTCGTTAGCCTGTGGCTGCTATACTAATGGACCTTCACAGCATCATCAAAGCCCCTTTCCTTTTCTGACCAGATATTAAAAACTTGTAAAGCATTTCTATTTTTATGTGGATACATGTCTTCAATAAATGCTTGAAAGACAGTAAACATAGTATCATTCTGACCAGATATTAAAACTTGTAAACGTTTCAACTTTTATTTGGATACACGTATTCAATAAATGATTAAAAGAGGTAAAAATAGCATAATTCTGACCAGATATCAAAAACTGTAAAACGTTTCTATTTGTATGTGGATACACGTTTTCAGTAAATGCCTAAAAGAGGGTAAAAACAGCATAATTCTGACCAGATATCAAAAACTTGTAAAACGTTTCTATTTGTATGTGGATACACGTTTTCAGTAAATGCCTAAAAGAGGGTAAAAACAGCATAATTCTGACCAGATATCAAAAACTTGTAAAACGTTTCTATTTGTATGTGGATACACGTTTTCAGTAAATGCCTAAAAGAGGGTAAAAATAGCATAATTCTGACCAGATATCAAAAACTTGTACAGCGTTTCTATTTTTAAATGGATACACCTCTTCAATAAATGCTTAAATGTAAATAAAAATAACCTCATTCTTACCGGATATCACGTTATAGTTACTAGAATATTGTTTGTGTTTCTCATATTATCATTCGTAAATCGTTCGTTTTCAAAGAACCGGAAACCAAAAGAAAAAGGAAGTTGCGTTGTTCTTACACAATATTGCGTAAATTCCAGTGAAGCCGTAATTTCTCGAAATGACATATTCTTTAGTTTCTAAAAACAAATAAATCACATTATATATTTTTATAAGGGCTTGAATTATTAAAATTAGCTTAATAATAAAATATTTTAGATATACCATATACAGTATAAATGTTTCAAAAACTCTTCATCGGTTTTAAAATATTACAATACACGTACGCTTGTCTTGTCAGCACTGATATTAAACGTGTACAGTTTTAACGGCTAATCATACGAACACAGTATACATGACAGAGATGATGAATAAACAATTCGCTTGTTTTAGAATTTTCGCGCAAGGCTATACAAGGGCAATCTGCAAAATAGCAGTTTCTAATATTAAACCGTATATAGAGGGAAAACAGCTAGTCAACAGCATTCTTGGGCTATTCTTCTCAGACCGAATAGTGGGATTTTACCGTTAATATATTTATAAAACACACACGGCCCCAAGTGGGGAGCAAAATCTTGCGACAAGGGGATGCGAGCCACGAATCCTCGGTTCATATTCCGGGACATGCTAACTAGTAGGCCACGCCCGACATGTATAATAAGAAGCTGATCGGCTAAATATAGAATGAAATTTACAGCTACAGTAGTCATAATGACATTGCCTTGTATAAAAAATTGGGTATTAACTTAAACAAGCCAAAGAATTGATGCCATTTATATTCTGATATATTTTCATGACATATCTTCAGAGCTTACCCGGTTAATAAATATACGTAGAAAAACATAGAACTCACCTCTTTGTAACAGGACAAACTGAAATAAAAATAAATTTGACAATGAAAGTTCTAACACTGAAAGAAATGACTCAAAATAAATTAATATTTTTATGTAGTGGAATTAATGTGATCTAATTTATGAAAATAGCATAAAAAATCTGTACATGTGGCTCTTCTGTTACCGAAATTGGATGACTCTTCTTCATTTTATAAACTGGCATTGTTATTACCATTATTTACATACAATACATACTGTAATTGATAATGGCTGGAGACGGCTTAAATGGGTAATGAAGAAAAACTTTAATATAAGTTTAACATGACAGTAAATGTACAACGTTTCGACAAGGTTTTGTCATCATCATACTGTAATTGAATTATAAGTTTCATGAATATGTTAAATTAGTAGACCATGAAGCTTAGATTTCATTATTTTTTATTATTATCCAGCCGAAAAGTTTAACACAGCTTAAAAGTAACTTGATATCCTTCATAAAATAGCCTGTTGAAACTTCATAACCGTAAGTTTTAGAATACCATCCGGAAGTGACCTTGACTACGAATATTGTCACTAACCAACGGCCATAATAGCATGACTCAGCTTTTCTCGTTTTCTCCTCTACACGAGACCTTGACTAGGCCTCCGTGGCTCAGAGACAAGTCTGAGGGAGAAAAACACTAAAAATTAAGTTTCGATATTTGCGGCAGACAAAGCATTGATAGACCAGCGCTTACTTTGCGCTTACCAACAAACAAACAAACTTCTGACTAAAGCAAGTATCTTTTGCAAATCACAAACAATCAATAAGAAACAGACAAAGGATGATCGAAAACATCTTTAATGTAAATACATATATTACTATTACAAGTATCGTCTGTATAAAATCAAAATATTTGAATCTTTCACAGTGTTCATAACTAACAGGATTGTAATATATTTGTCGTGAATGTTTCGTCAAGGTTTTACATGCAAAAAAGTTATGTTTTCAAGAGTTTTTTATTTACTGGTTTTTATGTTTTACCGCTCCCTTTTAAATAAAACAACTACAAAATATATGGGTGTAATCGTGACTGCACAATAGTCAATAGCGTCACGTGACTTTTTTGTTCGCATGTGCTGCCACCTAGCAATATATAAGCTAGTTAGGTTCAATAATATATAATAGTTCAGGCTGAGTCTTCAGAAGGAGATTTAGGAAGTTTTTCTTGAAGTGCATATCTTTTCCTACTTCAAGTTGCCAACATGACCATTGACTTATACCATATGGCACCCAGTGGACCATGCCGGGCCGTCCGCATGGTTGCTAAGATTATCGGTGTAGACTTAAACCTTAAAAATGTCGACTTAATGGCTGGTGAGCAAAACAAACCAGAGTTCCTAAAGGTTCGTATAAATTAATGATTTTTGTACAATGTTGTTTTTTTAATTTGTTTTTTTATTTAAGTAGCAATCTATTAAAGTTAATCTATGCTCTTATATAGTAATTAATTAGTGTCTGTTCTTTTCTAAAATGAAAATTAAAATTTAGTGTGGGCATGAAAAAAATAAAAACCCCATTGCTAATTATTTCTATTAATTAATAAATAATTGTTTGTTTCTAATTAAGCACAAAGCTACACAATGGGCTATCTGTGCTCTGCCCACCACAGGTATCGAAACCCGGATTCTAGCGTTGTAAGTCCGCAGACATACCGCTGTGCTACTGGGGGGTTAATAAGTAATATACAGTTCTATTTAGTGTGTAAAAACTCAACATTTCCATTCGTTCATCAGAATTTTTTTCTCTAATCTACTTAATATCATCTTGAAATGTCTTTTATGTGAGAACCTCTTGACAGATAATGTAATATTTAAATTTTGAGGTTAAAGTCTTTCAAACCTCTAATTTCGTCGAGAAAACGTAGCCAATTCTGGTTCGTAAGTTATATGTGTTTTGTTGAAGTTATTTTAGTATTTTTTGAAATATTGAAGGAAATTGTCTTTGCAGCGGGCCGTCACATAAAATTATATACGGCCTGAGTAAGGCTGATATACTTATCACTAGTACTTAAGTGTCTGGTTTGAAGGACACTTGCGATGTTTGCACTAGACAATGGGTAAAATATTATATTGTTAATGCATATTGTATGGGAGTTTTTATCTCTTCTGAACTTTTTTTCTTCTCTTCAGATGAACCCACAACATTGTGTACCAACAATTGATGACGACGGGTTTATCTTGTGGGAAAGGTAGGTTAATGTTGTAAACACTTATGTATTTTTGTTTTTTGTAACTAGTAAATAACTGTTATTGAAAGTGTAACTGTAAAAGTGTGTTCCATAACGTCATTTCCTTTCATTTATCCAGTTTACATATATTCAGTAACTTTTATGTCGACTTGTCAAGTATTTCTCTTATTTTAGAGTGTTTAAATATCATCAACGTATAACATAACAGTACGTCTGTATTTATGTTTTACTTATATCTGTGCTTGGCGCTTCACAAGGATTGTTCGATTGTACAGGTAAACTAAATATTTGACTGGAGTGAAGTTGTTTCAGAAAAACCTGTACATTTAACACCTGTTCTTAACAGACACCATAAGACTGCGTGGCTGTTTGTATATCCCTCACTCTACCATAATAACTTTTCAGATGATAGATTGTAATCATTATTTTCCTATAGTCTAAGTTGTGTAATTAAACTTCACTTTAAGCTTAACTGTTCGGTATCAGCGATCGATATATTTTTAATGCACTTGAACGTATGCTTCAATTGAAGTGAATTTAAATTGAAAGCCGAAATTAAATTCTTGAAATCCTTAAAAAATGGATGGAAAAATAAATTCTTTGTATGCAATCAGGGACAAACGGTAGAATTGAACGTTAAACGTTCCTAAATTCAAATAAAAAACTAATGGCGTATCAATATTGGATATTAAACTAAAAAAACATAAGATGTCATGTTCAATGCCAAATGTTCAATATCTATTCTGATATATATTTTTTATCATATTTTTAATTTAAATAAAATAATTCTTTCTCCATAGCCGAGCAATCATACAGTATCTCGTGAACAAATACGCTCCAGATAGTTCTTTATATCCTAAGGATCCTCGCCAGAGGGCAGTAGTTGATAGATTGTTGTATTTTGATATGGGAACACTATTCAAGGCCCAGGGAGAATATTTTGTAAGTACTCCTCTTTTTTTTTAAATCTAATTAATGGATGTCTGTAAAGCATTTAGAAATTTGCTCTTAAAAAATAAATATATAAAATGTCACAATTGAGCTGTACTTCTTACTTGAAATTTGATAAAAAAAGTTGCCAATATACAATACATGTTAAAGTTTAAAACTGCAATCAAAAATAGCACATTGCAGATCAAACACATATTGAAGTCAGAGAAATGTGACCATAGCCACAATTATATGTTCAAAGAATTGTATTGTTGTAAACTATTTTTTATTATTATATTTTAGATGTAAGCTAAAGAGCGCGAAAGATTAAAATCTAGGTGGGTACACTAGTTATGAATACGAGAAACAGTGAAACTTTGAGCTTAGTTACAAGAGTAACGGTCAGTTTTAGTTTGTTATATGATTAAGTAGTTAGATAAGTGTTAGTTATAGCGGATATTTCAATTACGTGAAATACAAGCAACATTATTTGTACATTAGTTGTAGTATCATTGCGAGCAAATTTCTGTTGAAGGTGAAAAGATTATGAACTTAGGCCTACAACTGCGTAAAGTGATCCTGTTACTAGTCTTCAGCAAACGTTTAGGAAGATGTTTGTTTGTTTGTTTTTGAATTTCGCGCAAAGCTACACGAGGATTATCTGCGCTAGCCGTCCTTAATTTAGCAGTGTAAGGCTAGAGGGAAGTCATCATCATCCACCGCCAACTCTTGAGCTACTCTTTTACCCCATTATAACGCCCCCACGGCTAAAAGGGCGAGCATATTTGGTGGGACGAGTATTCAAACTCGCTACCCTCAGATTGCGAGTTGAATGCCCTAACCACCTGGCCATACAGGGCCTCATTTAGGAGGAACTAGACTAACTTATTATCGACAGAACACATCATAACACTATCTAGTTTTGAAATAATGAAATGAACTAATTACATATTTTATTTGTGCTTCCTAATTTTATTTAGTACCCACAAGTTTTCAAAGGCCAAGATCCAGATCCGGAAAAAGAAAGTAACTATAAAACTGCACTGGGCTACTTGGAAGGTAATTTGGAAAAATCTTCCTATGTTGCTGGAGACAAGCTAACCCTGGCTGACATCTCTATTGTGGCTTCTCTGTCGATGATGGAAGTAAGTTATATTTACATCAATTAAGATTACAGCCAAAACTTTTATGGATATTTTTTAATTTTGGTCCCGGCAAAAATTTGATATTGTATTTTGTGTATTGGTCTCTAAGAAATCAACTTAGAAATTTTTAATAAAGAAATATGTAAATGTATTAACATTTATAAGTGAAGGAAATCCTTTAACTAATTTTTCTTCTCATAGGTATTAGACTACAAATTCAGCAGTTTTCCTAAAATATCTGCATGGATGGCTAAAGTTAAAGAAGAAATACCTGACTATAAAGCCATGAACGATGAACCTCTCCAAGGATTCAAGGCTTGGGTGAAATCTAAAAAGCCCCAGTAATGAAAATGTTCTTCCTAAAACACTGCCATCTTACCAGAATAATTTAAACACTTGTTATTCCGATCAGTTAGAAGAAGAAAAGAAGTGCTAGTAATATCTCTTTAAATAAAATATGCTTCATTATGTGTTTGTCAAGTGGAATTTATTTTTCAAATACAATAATCTAACCCTTCTTTCTTTACCAATTTATGACAATAGTCATACGTAACTTTACAATATTGTTACGTCTCC